TTTCTTTTTGTTGTTTACTCTCTGCGAAAAATTAAACAAATTGGTACGAGACAAGGGCTTTGAGGTGTAATATGAGTATAAACTGACTTTCGATCATAGATAACTCGGCTTATGAAGTCAAAAAAATTACAAAATTTTTCATCCATTTATCCTAAATTTTCATCATTACATGTGAATGTGCTAGGGTTCATATAATTGTGTTCGGTAAGAATCGTAAAATAGCTCTTAGCGTATTTGATTAATTTATAAATTTTTTTTATATATAAATAAATTTAGTTAGTAAAATAAGTTTTTTTTTAAAAAAAAAAATATGGAGTTTATCTCATAAATTGAGGCTACGTTTATAAACATAACTAAAAAATAGCTTAAACTTGATAAATTAGCTGATAAGTTATTAATTATAAACTAATTTATCAGCTATAAGTTAGTTATTTAGTTTTGTTTTCCTAACATGGGCTGAATGATGGTTGGAAAGCTACCTGATATAATAAATTTTTGGAAAATAAAAAATTTTTTGTCATCCAAACTATAACAATTTGTGCGCATCACCATGTAAACTTTTTTTTTTTACAAACCACCACCTAAACTATACGAGTTTGTCAAATTGGCCACTAAACCGAGTATAAAAGTGGATTTGACTAAAAAAATTGATTTTTGAGGGCATTTTAGGAATTTCACATGCTTTTCAAAAAAAATTGAAAAAAATGGGGAAAAAAATAACAGCGTAGGTGGTGACAGGCTCCTACGATGTCAGTGATGCCCAGTGACTGCGTAGGTTGCGGCGGGCTCCGTGAGGAAGTTGGAGCGGAGCAGAAAGGCAATGCTATCGAGGGAGTCGCCGCTCGAGCGCTCTCCGGCAGTCTTAAGATCTCGATACTGGGGAAGTCGTCACAGCATGGCCCGATTTGTCCCCATCCTCCTGAGTTGGCGAGTTCGGGTCTTCGGGTTCCTCCTAGTTGGTCGACGAGGTCTTTGAAGGCCTGCAGGTCATTGTTGGCGGCTAGCTCGAGCAAGCTGCCGAAGGAATATTCGGTTTGGATGTTTGGAAGATTCGAGTTCATGTCATTATTGTGTTAGTTTGTCGTATGTTTTTGTCTGGAAAATAATGAGTAGATTGTGGGCCGGATTATTCGGATGCTTTTGAGGAGTCGAACTTGGACAGGCGACCGGTGTTTGAGAAAATAAATAGTACCTGAATGGGGTAAAACAGAAGAATGAAGATAAGTAACTGATTGCTAAAAAAATAAGGGAAGCAAAAGACAACACATATGCAATAGAATTAATTAAGAAGGTCCGAATTAGAGTGATATGAAATTTAATCCTCAAGGCTACAGGAGAGAGCTCAAGCAGCGGCTCCCTCGACGACATCGGCTTTTTGCTCCACGCGAAAATCGTTATAGTACAGATGGCAATTTTTTTTTTTTTTGTCTTAATTTTTTTTGGTATAGTTAGTTAATAATTTAGCAAAAATGAAAATTTCAACAGTCTCTTTTAAAAACTGCCCAAGGAGCTTATGAGATAAGCTTCAACCTTTTAAAACAAATCGTTCTATCAAACTAAGTTTATTTAATAGTGTATTTGGTAAGCAACATAAACTAATTTATAGCTTATATAGTTAGTTTGTAAGTTTCATATATTCAAATAAACTTGGTTTGGTAGGATGAGTCTTTTTAAAATGCTCGAGTTTATCTCAAAAGCTTCCTTAGGTAGCTTTTTAAATAAGCCCGTTAAAAATTTTATTTCAGCTGCCTTATCGGTTATATCAGTTAGTTTTTCAATCATTAATCATAAGATATCAACAATAAGATAGAAATTCACTTATAAACTATCAACTAATTTATGAGCTATCAACTTAGTTTTCAGCTAAGTTTACCAAACACAATATAAATACATAAAGATTCTAAAGTAACTAAATAAAATATAAGTTATCTTATGGTGCTTACCAAATATATTCTATAAATGAACATTGAACTTAGCATATGGTTTATGGCTGAAAAGTTAGCTAGTATAATAAAAATGCTTGATAAAATTATTGATTAGTTGGCTGCAACAAAAATTTCAACGGACTTTTTTGAAAACTACTAATGAAGCTTATGAAACAAGCTCCAACTCTAAAAAAAGCTCGCCCAATCGGACCAAACTTACTTGAATACAATAATTTTGTAAGGTAACCAAATAAGCTATAAGCTAGATTATGGTGCTTACCAAACACAGTTTGGATAGCTATGTTTTCAAAAAGCTTGTTGAAAATTTAATTCTGACATACTTATTTGTTAATATTACTCAACACTTTTATTAAACCAACCAACTTTTCAGTCATCGGCCATAAACTATCATATATAAGCTAAATTTTACTTATAGGCAACCAGGTAGATTTTTCAGGTAGATTTACCAAATATAGCCCATCTTGTCCCATGGAGGTGGATTTGGGTTCTTCAATTTTTCTGGCTCTTCGTATTAATTTGAGTTGTTTAGAAGTCTTTTTTGTACTGAACTCAGTTGTCTGCCCTTTACTCTTGGGAACACTGTTTGGCAGTATTTTCACTTATGGGCAAAACACAGAGGAAAACACGAAAGAAAAAGAAGAAAGGAGTCGTTTCAGCCTGAAGGGAATTTCGAGCAGAGATGATGAATTATTGCAGTAGATCTCTAGAGAGTATCGTCTCCAAGTAGAGAGCAATTGGGCTGAATAAATGTTTTCTATTGGGCTTAGTATGGTATTTTGTCGGCTTAGTTAATTGTTGGGCTAGTTATCATTTGTAGGCCATTACTATTTGAGAGAGGAGATCTTGTTTGCTAATGGATTAAGATTAACTTTAACGTATAATGCAAATTAAGTTATCTAATTATTGTTTATGTGCTATTAAGTTTATTGTTTCGTATATGTGCAAAAAATTATTGTAATTCATGTCGATGTGTAAATTAGCCGTACCATTTATGAGATTTGTGTTCGCAAGGATTTGTTCATGTGTTCGCAAGGATGTGTCAATCTCACTCTTTCTCTCTATGCTCTTCTATCAATTCTCGTTATCCCTCCATAATTATAGAGAAATATAAAAAAAAAACAATAAAATACAAAGCACAACCGATCTAGATTAAGCATGCTAAACAACGACGAAGTATATGGCAAGTCTATACTAGTGATATTCCGAAGACCTTGGAACCATGTATACATCGGCTCGTACAAAGATGTCAACCTCTAAGTCGATCTCTCCTTTTACGCCGATCTCACTCCACGCCATAGGCGCATCAGACCGTTGTTACCATGGTGTAAGGGAAGTCACCTCCTCACAACGGCCAGAAGTAAAACTTCATTCATACCAATCTCGGTGTAAAAAGGATTGCCCCCTAGAACCAGTACGCACCGCCCAAAAGATAAGTCACTTGCACAATTTGGCAAAGTTGAGAAGACACCCGTCGCCTTGCATGTCTCTAGCTTCTAAGAGACAACCACTTACTGCGAAAATAACATATTTTAATAGCCTCCCATTCTATAAATAGCAGGCCCTCGGTATTGAAAAAATTATCGAAAAATATGGCATGGCTTAGTATCATATTCAAAAATACATCACGAGATCACTCACAAAAAGTCCACTAAAATAGCGAATATTGGGCTAATTATACTTTTCTAGTTAAAAATGGCCTTCAATAGGCTCTTGTTATGAAGAGGTCCGTGAGCAGCTCAAATCCTTACATAAAACTCACGGGGCAGGCGCATCAATTCGTGGATAGTCGTATATTTATCATTTCTCTTCATTTATTTATTTTCATTTTTAATCACCTTATGACACTAATCACACACTAAATAGCACATTGTCGCTTCATAGTTAAGTAGGCGAAAACGACCGTCGATAGAATGACTCTAGAAGGAGGGCTTGTAGTAGCTAAACTCTACAATGGTTCACGCGGCCTCTTAATGAAACCCTCACATATCCCTTTTTTTTTTTTTATCTCATTACTCTGCCCAAATGGAAAAGCGGCCAATCGACCCTCTATATCCTTTATTTTATCTAATCACTTTGTCTATGTCTAAAGGCTGCTCGACCGACCCTCCACACATTCTCTGTTCTCCCCGATACTTTGTCCAGACAGATACCTACAAATACACCTCTTGACAAACTGTCTTTTTTTCTTTTCTTACCGCGATGTAATGCTCGATCTAAAACTCAATCCCTATATTAGCGCACTTTGAGATTGAGGAGCATGTTATACGCAGAATCCATGGTGTGATGTTGATGCTGAAGCACATTTGACATTAAAGCCAAATGTAGCAACATGCCATCTTGTCAGCCTTTTTCCACCTAGCATACTTCTCATTCTTCTGCTCAGTGGCCCTCTCACCGAGCATATCCAGACAGTCCTCAGAGAGTACAAATTTGTAACCTCTACTGTCAGCACTATGTCCAAGTTCCTCCTCCAATCACTATAATTGGGACCAGTAAGTTGATTTTCTTTTAGAATGACGGATAGAAGATTGAAAGACATATTGAATTAAGCCAGAGAATCGCTAAAAAATTTTACTAATCAAACACATTTGAATTTTAACCATTAACATTGATATCCTAAAAAAAAATACGATGTAATTTAAGGAAGCTTGTCCTGGTGATCCCGCAATTTACTCAAATCATCCTTAAGGAAGCTTGTCCTGGTGATCCCGCAATTTAATTTTCTGTAATGTCCTTGTTAGATATGATGTAAAAGCTTGGGTTTCAGATATAAACAATACCATGTTGATCTGGCAATCGTGTTTAGTCAAAGTACTTATGTTTGTAGTTTATTTATTTATGCAATCATAACTCCATTATTTTATATTGTAGATAGTATGGTTCATCGTGTCGAACAGAAAGATCATATTATCGGTTCCTTATAAAATATAAATTAATTGTTCACAGTTTAGACAGGCAATTAGACCCTTGTTGAAAAAAGACTGTAGTGTAGTCTTGATTCAATTGATCTTTGACTGACGGGTTACACTAGTACCTATGATAAGTATTGAATGGACCGCGGAAGGATAAGATTATAAGTTTTACTGATCGTTGTTATAATCTGGACCTTCAGTAACTGATGCTACTCTTAAGCTGTAAGATAATATAAAATGGGCATATATATTCATTACTTATTTATTTGATTTACCAAGGGTGATTCCTATTCTGTTAAGATGACATACTCGGTATTTTGGTAAGTAAGAGTGTTTATATGATGTGTCGTTATAAATTATTGACATTCACTATGTCCCAGTGCGCTGGATTGATGACGTCCCCGAAATGAGCTTAGGAAGGAATATTATGTCAAACCCTGCAGGTGGATAGTTATCCGGCATAATGATTAATGAACTGAGTGGTACTAGTTTCGGAAATGATAAGAAGTCGTAAACGAACTAGGCCTCGGTTAATTACTGCGTTCTCTTAACCCATAAGATATTAAGCAGACATATATATGCAGTACATATTACTTTGATTCACTTGGGTGAGGTTCAGTTCGCTGGATTAATATTCCTACTGTCTTGAGTAATATTGTTGTATATATGATGTGCTGTTAGGATATTTACGGTCACCATTTACGTTTAGTTTGATGATGTCCCCGAAGTGAGTTCATAAAGGATTGTTATGCTAAACCCTGCAGGTGGATTAAGTTACGGCATAATAATAATGTGATGAACGAGCGCTAGCTTCGGCGAAATAAATAATATATTAATTTATTCTTGATTATCAGTAATATAATTAATTAATGGACATTATATCTTAAACATGGGGAGGTAAATCAGATGATTATAATTAGAGTCTCAAGTGTTATTTTGGCTAGGAAAAGGGAGTACAATAATATTACGTTAGTGGACCGTAATATTATTTAAGTACTTGGAAGAGTGGGCCTGGCCTACAATTAGTCCATTACTTAACAAATCTTATTTCTAATCTCCTAAGGATCCCTACTATAGCTGTATATATACATTAATAAGCTCATGAAAAGAGGAGAAATCATATAATACACGTGAAATTGGCGCACCTCCCTAGTCTCTCTCTAGATCTCATTCGAACTTTATCTTCTTCACGTTGCTCTACCGGTACGAATTGAAGATG